CTGCCAGCGCCCCTTCCACAGCTGCAGGCACCGGAGGAGACAATGGAGACACTGCTGCAAGAGGGACCCCAACCCCGAGCACCTCCCACCCCTTGGTGGGGCTGTGGGGTCCTCAGGGTGGGTCCACAGTGACATGAGGTGACAGAGACACAGCACGAGAGCAGCGCCTGGCCAGCCCCACGCCAGGCCATGGGAGACCCGGAGCAGCTGTGCCCAGCCCCGCGCCCAGCTGCGATGGAGCAGGAGCAGGGCTCTGCTCAGGGTGAGCACTCCCCCCAGCCACGCACCTCCCCTGACTGGTTCTCGTTGAGTTTCTGGCTCAAGATCAGCTGCTTGAAGTCGATTCCAGCGAGTTTGTTGAGAGTCCCGTTCCCTGCAGGAAAAGGAGGGGATGAAGCCTACAGGCGCGGGGTCATCCCCCCGGCGCTGCCCTGGGAGCACAGCCCTGCCCACGAGGAGGGTTCTGGCCTTACTGGGGCGCGTGCGCGTGGTGCCCTTCCAGAAGGTGTCCTTGTAGGGGATCTTGGTGAGGCTCTGCCCCAGCTTCTCGGCACGCTCTGCAGGGAACAAGGGGTTGGCAGCACGGCCGGCACGGAGCACAGCAGCTGCCATGGAGCACTGGGGACCTCCTACCTCTCAAGACCTCCCGCAGCGGTGGCTTGGCTTTGTCCGTGGGCGTCTCACCATACTTGTTAGCGATGCTGACCAAGGCCCCGTTGCCCACCAGGTCCTGTGGGAGCAGGAAGTGAGCATCGGCATTTGCTGTGCTCAGCCTCCTGCCTTGTCCCTCCTATCTCTCGCCCATGTCCGAGCGCTTCCGCTCACCTCTGCCACTTGGTCATGTCCCCAGAAGCAGGCGTAGTGCAGCGGCGTATTCCCGTGCTCATTCACAGCATTGATGTCTGCTTTGAACTGGATCAACTGGGGCAGGATGACAGTTCCTGTCACTCCACAGCAGGCCCCCACCACCCAGCACCATGGCCTGCAGGAGCACCACCACCAACCACCGGCACTGGCCAGGTCTGGGGCTGGGAGCAAGGTGAGGGTGAGGCGGGGCTTCTGTGGGTAGGGTGAAGGAGCTCATATATGGGGATACAACAAATTCACGGCCCTTCACTACAAGAGAGACACTGAGGTACTGGAGTGGGGCCAGAGAAGGGCACCGGAGCTGGAGCAGGGCCTGGAGCACAAGTGTGATGGGGAAGGGCTGAGGGACCTGGGGGTTTAGTGTGGAGAAGAGAAGGCTCAGGGGGGACCTGATC